TCAATGTAAAACAGAGGGCGCCGGTCCCTTTGCGGCGCGGCCGCCGGCGGGCCCAGGCTCGGCTCGGATAGGCGCTGCCCGGCGTGTTGCGATTTGAACGGACTCACGTGACCGCGCTGTTTCAATCGTTCCACAGCTGCACCAGCCCCGGCCAGCCCCCTTCGGGGCTGGGGCCCCCAACGCTGCTCATCCCCGGCTCCCCGGGGCACCAAGTCTTTTGCTTTCTTTAGCGAGATGCCATCAGCTTAAACATCCCACGTGACAGAGAACTGCTGCCTTTGTTTCAGCTCCCACCTTTACATCATTCACGCGGGGGGGGGTGTTGTAAAATCCATTTTCTGTTTCACTCTCTGCACGGTCAGCTTCCCTGCCGGATTGCTCCTGGTTTATAGGCCTGACAGCTTCACCTTTTTTGTCTCTGATCCGATTTGCTCTCAGGCAGGAGTACAATACTGGGGTGTCTGTGTTGCAAAAGTAACAGCGAGTGGTTTGGGTTAAAAAGAGCCGTTTCCGTTTATTTTTTTATCAAGTTTTATCATACAATCGTGCACGTGTAGATGTTCTTTCAAAAGATAAAAAAGTGGAACCAAATAATAAGCATCAGATGAGAATTTAAAAGCAAAATAGGATAGACCACATGTGGGGCATTCTACCTGCATAGACAGGTTTCAGAGTAGCAGCCGTGTTAGTCTGTATCCGCAAAAAGAACAGGAGTACTTGTGGCACCTTAGAGACTAACAAATTTATTAGAGCATAAGCTTTCGTGTGCATCCGAAGAAATGGGCTGTAGCCCACGAAAGCTTATGCTCTAATAAATTTGTTAGTCTCTAAGGTGCCACAAGTACTCCTGTTCTTTTTACCTGCATAGAGCCAGTTGAAGAATTGGGGCCTATATCTAGTAACGAAGACTGTAACTATGTCAGGACGAGTCAGAACCAGTGTTGTCAATTCATGAGATTTTCTTTAGTGTCGTGTGGTGGTGGTTGTTTTTTCTTAAAGCTCCAGCTCCTGGAGTCATTTGATCATATGAGATCTCTCAGCTTTATTTGTTTATTTTTAAGTAGGTTTCTAGTCCTCATGAGTGTGAAGAAAAGCTACAAAATATGAATCTAAAGGCGCAAACACCAGAAGGCATATGCCCCAAATTTATATCATTCTAAAAATCTCATGATTTTCAAGGCCTCGTTCGTGATTTCTAAATGCTTGAGGTCAGGGTGGATAGATTTAAATCAAGACCATTTAAATCATGATTTAAGTCACCAAGTGAAAAGCTTTGATTTAAATCATTGATTTTAATCACCTTTTCCGTTTGTACCTCAGTTATTTTCTAAAGAAAGGTGCATTCTCAGTGGTTTGTATAACCATTAAAACATGTTGATTTACAACTAATAGAGCCTTTGCATTAGGTTTGGTACATCTTTCTACTGTCTAAAAGGGTACACAATAATTATATATGTTCATTTATACAGTTGTGTAGCTTAATATTTTCAGATCCTTATTATTTAATGGTACAATTTTAGTATGTTAAAAATGGTGAATGATATATTGCTTATTTACTAGATAATTTACTTTTGGCTCACGATTTGTGTCAAGCTGCATTAGAACGGGAACTGGAATTTAATTAAACACACAAAAAAGCATATAACATTTATTTTTAATAAGCAAAACAAGCCCTTAATACAGTACACAACCCATTTTGCCGTATTTAGAACGCTTGACCTCAAAAGTTAGATGTTTTCCCCCTGATTATTTCTGTGTATAGAAAAGCAGGCTTTTACTCAAAGCTTTGATTAGAGGCTCATGGGTTCATCATATTAATGTTTTATTTAAATGTTTTAAGAGATTATAATAAGTGTAGGCCTTAACATATTTTGTATTAAATTCAGATTTCATTTTAAACAGCTTTATTTTTAAAAATAAATCATAATTTACATAACATCAAAAATCTGATTTAAATGAAAATATTAATTTATTAATGTTAATGATTAATTTTAAAATCATCAATTTTTAATCCACCCTGCTTGAGGTTGGCAATACTATAGAACATTTTTGTATGAAGTGTAGAAAAAACAATGCATTTTTAAAAAAAGTATTAAAATGAACAATAGAAGTATAACAAAACCTGCTAAAATCGGAGGCTTGTTTTAAAGGAATTCTTTCAGCTCAAATTTGACCCCAAATTTAGGTTTTGTACTTCTATAGACCAAACTGCAGGATCCAGCACCTATCCAAGTATGGTGTGTTTCCTCTCTTTCTGGTGAAAGGATGACATGTAACCACATGTTAAGAGAACATTTTTTAGAAATAGTTTATATAAAATTTTTACCCAGGTGGCAAATACATCAATACTTTCTAAACAAGTCAAAATTCTCTCATCTAACAATTGGTGTTTTAAGTACAACTGTCAAGCAAATATTATATGAAACCAATGCTCAACATAAAATGAAGTAAAGAAAATCAATTAAAGTTATGCACGTTTCCTTAAGGAATAGCAATTTAAAACTGCAATGCAGACAGAATCAGAATGGGAAATGTAGGTGGTAGTGACACAGATAGACTGAATCTTCCTCACACTACTGTGGGAATTTGAATGACAGCTCTCTGCCTGAGCCCTAAATAATACACGTTGTTACTTTTGCAAAGTGGTTTTGAGGAATGTATTAACTTGTGATCACTATGGCTCACGAATTGTTGGATTGTGAATAAGCTTAATGAGTTAACTCCTCTGCAACTCCATTCAGGGATGGATTGATAAAGCTCCATGTGAGGGCTGAAATTCTGTGATTTGGTAACAATTTCGTAGCCACACGGTGTACAAATGATGGGCCACGGGTGCCCAATTGCCTCATTGCTCGCCCTGCTGAATCACTGGCAATATAGGTCACTAAGGGTATGTCTACACTACCCGCCGGGGGCGGGCAGCGATTGATCCAGTGGGGATCTATTTATCGCGTCTAGTATAGACGCGATAAATCGACCCCCGAGCCCTCTCCCGTCGACTCCTGTACTCCAGCACCACGAGAGGCGCACGCAGAGTCGACGGGGGAGCAGCAGCAGTCGACTCACTGCGGTGAAGACACCACAGTAAGTCGATCTAAGTACATTGACTTCAGCTATGTTATTCACGTAGTTGAAGTTGTGTAACTTAGATCGATTTTTCCCACCCCTCCCCTCCCCAGTGTAGACCAGGGCTCAGATGTAGAAAACAGAATTGAATGTACTTTTCTATTGCACCTTCTGTGCTCAAAGAATTGCAAATGTAATCAGATTCCCAGGACTTCATTGACAATGGGCTTGTACCAAGGAGGTGCAGTAACTGCAGAGTTAGACAAACACAATGCCCTAATGCAATCAGTAGTAGTTCATACAGAAACCCATCACAGGAGAATCTTCGAATGCTGATGTAAACCTGGCAAAACTATGGCCCACACCCAATGCAGCTCAGCCTCACTTTGAACGATAGTCTGCTTTTTGCATCACAGCTGGTCCCATTTCCACAAGCTGCCAACCATATTTAAATGAAGGAGATGCAGTGGGCAGGCTGTGACTTTGGGAGCTTGATTTCCTTAAAGCAACTCCACTGAAGTCAATGGAGTTAAACTGGTGTCAAACAGATTGAGGCCCCGGATGTTGAACCCAGCTCTGTTACTAGCATAGACACAGCCTATAGTATCAGGTTAATGGAGGACCTGATGGGAACCTGTTTTGGAAAAGGTCCTTTTTCGGAAAACAATGGTCATGAAGCTATAGGACTTGGAACAAGAGATTGCATGATAGTGGAGAGGTGAAAGAAAATGAAGAAGAGAAAATACAGTACCAATTCTGTACATAATATATGGGGTGTTTACTAGACAGCCGCTAATAACAGTACATCAGATAATATTATGGAGATTTTTACATTGGATTTCTTTGGGCCATCCCAACCAGCTTTCTATCGGAGGCAACATTATAATCCAATCTAGGGCACAAACAAGGCTCCTCCATCCCTCTCTAACATGCTTTTTGCCTGAATGACTACCTTGTGTTTCTATAATTTAACTCTTTTATAAGGATAGGTTGTTGGTCTATTGCTCCACCCCCAGCCTGAAGGACCAGCGGCCTTCTTTTCATCTGCTCCCTACCCTTTGACCTGTCTAATTTGCGTGGCCCTATCAGGAGTTAAAACTCACACTGGCATAGTTCTCAGGGTCCTAGGAGCACAACAAGACTTTCCCAAATGGCAAGGTATGGTCCACAGGGAGGGAAATTGCTATTAAAGGCTATAGTACAAGGACAGGTATTGCTAATTCTAGTCTTACATTAAAAACTGCAAACCTACTGTAATATAAACGGATTGAGCTTTCTTTCCTTCAGCTAATTGGTTTGATGATTTGCTGTTGATCATGGTCTTTTATGAGCTATATCATGGCCAGATTTTAGTGGGTGGCAATGATGGGATTTTCTTGGTTGTTTGGGGTGTGTTTGCTTTTTTGAATTTTTCCTAATCCCATGAGTATAAGTATAAACTGGGTTAAAATTGTGGGTAATTCAGTTAGTCACATTAGCCTTAATCTCTGGAGGGGAAATCCTGGCTCCATTGAAGTCAGTGGGACAGTTGCCATTTCTTCCCAGGGGCCAGGATTTCCCCCTTGTAAGTTATCACTCCCCATCCCCCACATCTGCTTCATAAAGGTAGCTACTTTTACCAACAATTAGATTCATCACAGCTCAGACTGAGGGACTCTATCTCCCTTGTCAGCCAGTCATCAGTGTTTCAGACCAGCCATTCCCCTGTGAAACCCAATGCCTGGACATGTAAAAGGATCACTTAGACGCCAGGCCCAGAGCCCCACCTTAGGGCACACACTTATTTTTTTATTTCTCCCTATTCAGAGCATTGTTTCTAAGCAACAGAAGAAAGCTTCAGCCTTGTGCGAAGCAGTAGCCTAGTTTCCTTCAGCTGCAGCAGAGGTAAAGGAGGAACACCAGCATCAAGAGTGAATTCCATCCTAAAGCTTCCAGGAAATAGAGAGATTCCAAAGCCCCGATCCTTTTAATAACCATTGTACCAGCCAGAGAGTCTGACGCAGGTAATCGACTATTTCTCATATACAGTGCGTGTGTGTGTGTGCATAAAAAGACGGTATACAGTCCTGTCGGTAGGATTATTAACTAGATCATTATTTTTCTTAGCATCTTTACAGTTATCAGTGGACTTTCTTTTTCTGAGGGACTCTCAAATGACAGAAAGATATGGTGTGATTTTTTTTGAGCAGCTTTCAAAATAAGATTAAGGGGAGGCCTTGGATTCCTTAAACTGACATGCTCTGAACTGCTTTGAAACTCCCTCCTTAATTAAATGAAAGGGTGCATTTATTTATTTGGTGTATGCAATCTGGCCAAGCCACAGTGTTCTTAAATGCTGCATTAATAAACATTGGGGCCACGCTTCAGCTGGAAAAAATCATCTCAATCCTCTTGGCTTCATTGAAGTAAATGAAACGACACTGATTTACAGCAGATGAGGATCTGGCCCAGAATATTTACAGGAATCGCTGTTTCAGAGTAGCAGCCGTGTTAGTCTGTATCTGCAAAAAGAATCGAGGAATCGTTGTGCTACTTTTAATAGGTTCGTGGCAGGCAATTGTGTTGGCATTTTGGCACGTTAATGCTGTACATAAGTGCTGTCGTTTTTGATGCCTATTAAAGAGGGCACCTAAATACAGTGGTGATGGGCACATTAGACACACATATAAACAGCATTCTCACTGCGTGTTTGAACCTAAATGTTTGTGGTTTCATGAACTCTGTAAACCCGTGGTCGAGGGGAAGTAATGCATGTAATTTGACTTGTGAACTGTGTACAAAACATTGCCATAACTTTTGCTCATACCCTTGTTATCTCCACCCTGGCCTGCTGTAGCCTTCTCCTGTCCAGCCTGTCCTCTTTCCAACCCATTCAACCAAAATCATCTCCTTGGCCCCCTTTCCAGTCCTGTCCCTCAGGGACTACTAATACTCCCACATTAGGTGGATGGAGAAACAGGAAAAGCCTTAGGAGCTAGAAGAGTTGATGAGCAGGATCTGTTCTGATGCCCTGTATGGACAATACTAGACACATCTAAGTTACTTAACCATGCAGATGCTGCTGTGATGGGTGCTCTAGAAACACGTAAGCGTATAGGCGTCCTACCTAAAAGAGATGTCGCCCCTCCCTGCTCGAATCCCTGCACTGGCTTCCTGCCACATTTCACATCACGGTCAAACTCCTCACCCTCACGTTCAAGGCTTGGCACAAGGATACCCTGAACTGTTACTGCTGCTGTTTACTTGTATTACCAGAACGTCTTGTCTGCTTTCCTTTCCTGTTACATCCCCACTGGTGTACTACTACTCTGCCACTTCTGCGGCGCCCATGTTTTTGCCGGGGTATTGAAATAGTTTGTGCTAATTCCTCGATGGCTTTGGTTCAGTCCTTGTGAAATTGACACATAGTGATCTGTCTTTCTTTTCCTTTCACTCTTTAGGCTGGATCTTAGTACACAGTCTGGGTTGTGGCAGCCTCCCCACCAACTAGAAACCCACCTCCACCCCCATCCATGGAAAGGAAACGCCTAAAAAAAGAGATCGAAAAACTCTTGTAAGTACCAACTGCCAGGTAGTTCCCATACTGCACTGTAGCTAGCAATGACTGTGTTCTAAAGGTTCTGTCTGACATACCTTACATGTGTCCTCCAGCTTTCCCTTATGGAAAGTCTGGGAAGCCTTCCCTGGGCATGCTGGCCAGCTCCCACTGTCCTCCTTTGATATGCACTAGATAGGTAAACCGCCATGATTCAGAGCCTACCACTGCCCTGAGCTATGCACATAGAGAACTCATGCTGGCAGTGTGGGTTATGGTTCCTGTCTAGTGCCTGGACCACACAAACAGGTAGGGTCTGGGCACTAGAGTTACTGCCTTTAAGCTAACAGGCTATATCCTTTACCTCACGTAGTAGAAGGTCATGCTCTTAGATCCAGAGAGTCTGGGTTCCTCTCCACCTACAGCTTCTCCAGGGATGTAATTCAACTTCCATTATATTCAATAGGAGGCTCACCCCTGGCTTCACTGAGGCTCCTTGTTTGAGTGAGTACGGACAAGTCTAAGTACAGGTTGCAGCTTCAGAAACCCAAACCCCAACGAAGCAGCCCTTTCAGGCTGGTGGTTGTGCAGTGACATCCCTACTGTATGCTCATTGCTTCTATTGCAACAGCACCACCAGCAAAGAGCCAGGGAAGCCTGTCCCAAGCAGGACTTCAGGCTGAATACTTTGCGTACCATTGCCCTCTCCCTTTATTTCCAAGCCTTTGGGGGATGCAGACAGCCAGGTCCATAGCTCAGAGTATAGAGATGGAAGCTGAGATTGCAAAAATAAACGGTTTTCCATGTCAGAAGGAGGCTGCCATCGGCGGCTGGGATACCTGCTGAACCTTGCAGCAGATTGTGAAGCTTTGAACTACAGTAAACACAGCCCTGATTGTATGCCGGCTTTTGAGAGTTGCCTTACTCCATCTTCTAATGCAGTGGCTTGCCTAGCACAGGCTGTAACTCAAAGCTGCTCTCTTGCTTTTAGGGGAGATTATGTTGGCATCAGACTTCGGGAAAATGAATTCGACCCGAAAGGAAGACAGCAGCCCACCTTTCTCGATGATATGGTAACCAGACGACTTCTTATTCTAATCTTGCATTCTTAATTCCTGAATGAAAGAACTGAAGGGTGCCTGGTTTGATGCAGTTAAATAACTTGCTATTAGGATCCGTAAACAAATGTGTTTTATCTAGAAGAGAGGGAAACTATCTAGAGATCAGTTGCATATAACATTTTCAAAAGTACCTAAATCCCCTTTTCAAAAGAGACAGGTTCATAAATCCCACTGACTTTCAATGACCCTAGACTCTTACGTTCCTAAGTCACTTAGTTTTTGAAAATGTTACTCCAGCTCTTTTGCCGTATGAGAGCTAAAATTAACTGATTTTACCTGGTATTAACTCATTTGGATTAATTCAAATGGACAGAAGCAAACTATGTGATGTAATTCCTTGGGGACCAACTGTATTAATCATGCTTAGAGCAGTCAGTTTAGTAGCATAAACAGGCTTAATGAGGCCTTCTTTGGCCAAGGCCAAGCCATTTAACCTCAGTTTCCCCGTCTCTAACATGGAAGTAGTATTTATCTGCTATTTGGTCTTGATACAGAAATTCCTGGGTAACATTCCATGGCCCTGTGCTGCTCAGGAGATCAAACTAGATGCTCATAATTATCCCTTCTGGGATAAAAAAATAAGTTATGAAACCTACCACATGGTGATTGTCGTTTGAGGACTAGGTAGGTAATGTTTATGAAATACAAGATTCCCATTGACTTCATTGGAGCCAGGATTTCTTCCTTTTATTACACTTGTAGGTGGAAGATATCCATTATTTTACAAACTTCGCTGAAAACTTGTTTTTAGCAATATGATGACTTTACATGGTTGCAGGGATCCACTCACGTGAAGTCAGTTGCAGGCCTGGAGCATCTTTTCACTTATAGATCAAGTTAATCTTTATGCGATCACTTGCTAACATTATCCGTAAAGGAAAAAAATCTAGAAGTCAGAGGTGGGCAAAGCCCAATATTATTCACCTTATAGCCCTATAAACGTTCTATGAGATGGTCTCAGGATACTGTGACCAGTCAACTGTGACAAAGTTCAGCATCTATTGTACAGCTAGGGAAGAATATATGAAGTTGTTGATAAGGAAGGGCTTTTGAGAGGCTAGTAGATGAAGCCGTGACTCCACCCTCCCCAAAGGCGCCAGCCAATAAAGATGAACCAGCATCGAGGCAGAAGTAAGCTGTGCCTGGCAAAGGGCTGGTGCAGCTTTCTTTCCCTTGGAGCAAGGGAGAATCAGGACTCAAGTGGCGCTCCGCTAGTCCCAGGTCTGCACCTTACTTGGGGCTCATGGCAAATCCACGATCTAGCCCAGAGTGCTGTCAAATGCACAAAGGTAACAAAGAGAGAAGTTTTTTCCCCGCTTCCTTTCAGTTATAATCCCTGGGTGTTGTACTGATGGCAGGTGCACACTTTTTAGATTTTCAAGCGGATGGCGTCCCTTTAAATTATCATAGCATATTGTATTCCCCCAGGATCAGCTCTGGGGGTGCCCCATTCTGCGATGGAGCTTTATGGCTGTCCTTATGTCTGGCAGAAAGCCCCAGAATGAGTGCCAACGTTTAGTTTTATGTCTCTGTTCAGAGACCATCAAAATGTAAGTCGCGGAATGTAGCCTTCAGCTGTAGGGCACAGGACTCAGCCTGCCTAGAGGCAATTTTTGCTGTATTCATGATCTGCAAATGATAAGGTGCTAGAACAGGCTAAGCTGGGTGGCCTATTCAGGCGGCCCCTGCAGCAGCTGATCACAATGTTTCACATTTTACAAAATAGCATTTATGATTCTATCTATCTAGGTGGATGTGGTCCCCATCACGGTAGTAGGCGATCACTTCTCAGCCTTTAAGGTATTTATCCTCACCACACCCCAGGTGAGGTAGGGCAGTGCTATTGTACAGATGGGGAACTGCGGCACAGAGACTACAGGCCAGAGTTTTAAAAGGCATTTAGGTGCCTAGTGGGATTTCTAAAGCACCGAGGTGCCCAACACCCATTGAAATCAATGAGTTTTAGGCACCTTGGTGGTTTTGAAAAGCCCACTAAGTTCCTAAATAGCGTTAACAATCTGGCCCTAAGTGACTTGCCCACGGTCACATAGGAAGTCTGTAGCAGAGTAGGAGTCCGAGGCTAGTGCCCTCCTGCACCATCCTGCCTTTCTGTTCTGCTTTCAGGCTCATTACGACTTGGCCATCAGTGTTGCTTTACTGTGGCTGAATGATTCAGAAGCCCAAAGTCCTTTGGCAGAAGGGAAAAGGTGAGTATGAACAGATGGAGGCCCCAGTCCTGCAATGGACTTACACCAGTGTAAAACTGGAGTAACTCAGGCATGAATCAGGTCCAATATCTTTCAGGCTAACCCTCTTTACTTATATTCCCTCCGATTATCCTGGATAGGAATTTGCCGCTTCACAGCAGATACATCTATCCCAACCGAATTGAGAGAGAAGCCATGATTTTATCATTTTACGCTGGGACCTTAATGGTAAGGAAGAAATAATGGTAGCAAGATCTTTTATTCTCCAGCAAGCTTCCCAGATGAACAAAATACTAGACGTGCCGTGTATTGTGCGAGAGTCCATGCAATGCAATGAACATATGTTTTTAAATATTACAAAACTGTCTAATTTTCATCAAGGGATGGGATTTGTAACCTTTGGTTAAACACAGTAAAGAATAGGCACCGTTAGCATGTAGCAATCTGATGGAGGTGAATAGGGAGGTGAATATCTTGTCTCGCAAACAGCTTTTAACATCAGGAATATCAAAGAAAATTATGATAAAACAATAGTCTGAACAATTTATAGCACAATGATCAAGTCAGAGCTACACAGTGGTCCACCAAAGCCCAGGTTTCAGTATATCCCGTGACATGCACAGCGATCCACAGATCTAATGAAGGAGCAATGGAATCAGTCCTGGTAGCAGAATGCTCTTGCCCCAAGTTTTGCTGATCTTTATGCAATGACATGTTTTAGGCACCACGTTAGATCTGCTTCAGTCAGATTCCTGCTGTGTTCCACTATGTCTTCTCTGTGGCAGAAGGTCACAAGAGCAAATGTCAGTGGGGCCCTATGAGCTACGTGAGGCAACGCTAGACATGCATGTCAGGGACCTAGCCCATAGGGTAACACTGGAAGTTAAAATCCTTCTAGTTGGTAAGGATTCTACAGGATGGGGTGTCATCTGGATTCTAAATATTTATTAATTCAAAACCAAAAATACCCACCCCAAGGACTAAACCCCTTTCCTGACCTGCTTTCACAGAACAGCATCCCCATTGAAGACGTCTTTGGGATTTACAGCACGGGGCCTTCGGCAACACGCTGGCACCGCTCTGCCAAAGTGAGTGGCAAGATTGTAGAGGCCTTTTTCGAATTGTTTGAAGCTGGCATCAGCTGGGTCTGTGCTGCAGCAGCTGTTGTTTATACCCGCTGTCCTGTGTGAATAAACAGAGCGGATTTAGTTGCTCAGCAGGCAGTTACGGTTATCTGGCCAGTGGGGATTCTGACACAAATGAGCGGAGGAGAGCTGACCCAGCACCACACGGATAAGCTTTCTGCAGTCCATTACAAGCAGTTAAATACCGGCCAGGGCCATGGAGTGGAGTAGTCTGCCTGGCTTTTATTTTAAATTGCCCCTCGCTGGTTTCCACTTTGTCTGCTGGAGCTATATTAGGGATGGAGTCTCTGGATAGTTTCATCCCATCCTTAATTAATCTGGGCCAAACTCCTGCCATCCAAACTCTGAGCATGCTCCATTCCAAACACCTTGTCTCGGTCCCTGAGCAGCCTGCCTTTTCCGAGATCCTCTTCCAGTCCCCTGAGCACAGCCCCTCCAAGGGACAGGCCCTTGCCTCCACTTCCCTTTGAGGTGGGACTCCGGCATCCAACCACTCTGACTGGCTCTCTGGGTTACAGCCCTCTGGTTGCCAACCGTGATACCTAGCAGGCCCAGCGGGCTTGGCACCAGCAAGAATTTCCCGCTGGGAATCTGTGGACAGTGACCATTTGCAGTGACACAGAAGCAGCTTCTCCAAAATAAAAAGTATGATTTATTTTGCCAAACCATTCACAGCACTCAGGGCAATGGATTTAAAACAGAGATCCACGCATAGTATCTTACCTCCGCTTGACTTTCCCCTCAGCCCACGGGCAGAGATGACTTAGCCCTGACGCTCCTCTGCTCTCTTGGGCACCAACTTACGGCAGGCCCCTGACTCCCAGGCAGTCTCTGTGTCAGCCGACAGCAGTTGGCAAGCTGCAGATTCTCAGCTGTTGCCAGGGTGGGATCTGAGGAGTCTCCTTTCCAGGGCTAGAAAACTGGCTTGTGTTTGAGGGGATGCTCCTTACCTAGGCCTTTGTTGTACCTTTCCCGCCTGGTTTCTTTAACAACCCCTTTTGATCTCCGTATTTGGGCAGGGTAATATCACACAGATACCCTGAGAGGCCTATGATAATAACAAGACACGCTTCCTAGCATAGGTGCTGGAACTAGGGGTGCTGGGGGTGCTCCCGCATCCCCTGGCTTGAAGTGGTTTCTATTATATCCAGGGTTTACAGTTTGGTTCAATGGCTCTCAGCAGCCCCACTATCCTAGTTCCCCGCCCACCCGCTGAAGAGAATTTTTTTTAAATGCATTTACTGTACGGGGGGAAATCAGGACGCTGCCCTGATCCAAACATGAGACTCTGTACTACGGCTGGCTGGACATGTGCAGCAAACTTTGAAGCACTTATCTGCACTGAGGATTTCCATAGGAATTGAAACACTAAATCAGGTTCGTGGTGCAGCTAGTTCGGAAGACTGTCTTTGACAGTGACCACTGCCAGATGCTTCAGAGGAAGGTGCAGGAGCCCCACAATATGCAGATGTGGGACAATTTGTCTCCCATGAAGGTCTAACCCTAATCTCCAATAATTCGAGTTTGGTACGCCCTGAAGCAGGAAGCTTATGTCTCCCCCACATCCCCAAATGTGGCTATTTTATTTCCTCTGATTTCAGCCATTAGTTGCTAGCCATGAGGGCAACATCTATAGGGTGTTTCCCATTAGAAGTAAGCTAAACGGGGGTCACCACCATTAGATCAGTTTGCCCTGTCTAGGTGTGTGTTACTCTGATAGCTGGAATTGGAGCAAATTCCTGGTGTAAACAAGGCCTGAGAGGGATCCCACAGCGCCCTCCTCCCCCCTTTCCAGATGGCTCTAGTACAGAATGTACAATAGCCATGGAAATGCTTACATCTGCCTATGCTGATGGGTGGATTTTTGCCAATAGCAAGTTAATTCTTTTGAAAACTGCATTCTGGCAGCTTTCTGCAGTAATATTATCTCCCCAGGCAAACCGAACTTCCTCCTTGGCCTGTCTCTTCCTACCAATCTTCAGGCCACTTCCCTCTCTTACAGATTTTGCAGACCTTCTGCGTGAATCGTTTTTGCCTTATACACTAGTAATAAGTGTATAAGGCAAATAAGCATGTCAAGTAGATGAATTTAGCTGGCATGTGGAGGTTAAATGCAAATTTTGAGATGAGTTATAGTTTCTGTTTGCACATGGAAGGAGTACTGCAGAAAGGGATCTCAGAGGATCACAAGCTAAATATGGGTACGTCTACACTTACCCGCTGGTTCGGCGGCAAGCAATCGATCTTCTGGGATCGATTTATCACGTCTTGTCTAGACGCGATAAATCGATCCCGGAAGTGCTCGCTGTCGACGCCGGTACTCCAGCTCGGCGAGAGGAGTACGCAGCATCGACGAGGGAGCCTGCCTGCTGCGTCTGGACCGCGGTAAGTTCGAACTAAGGTATGTCGACTTCAGCTACGTTATTCACGTAGCTGAAGTTGCATATCTTAGTTCGATTTGGGGGGTTAGTGTAGACCAGGCCTATGAGTCAACAGTGCAACACTGTTGCAAAACAAGCAAACATCATTGTGGGATGTATTAGCAGGAGTGTTGTAAGCAAGACACGAGAAGTAATTCTTCTGCTCTACTCCACACTGATTAGGCCTCAACTAGAATATTGTGTCCAGTTCTGGGTGCCACATTTCAGGAAAGATGTGGAGAAATTGAAGAAAGTCCAGAGAAGAGCAACAAAAATGATTAAAGGTCTAGAAAACATGACCTATGAGGGAAGATTGAAAAAATTGGGTTTGTTTAGTCTGGAGAAGAGAAGACTGAGAAGGGACATGATAACAGTTTTCAAGTATGTAAAAGGTTGTTACAAGGAGGAGGGAGAAAAATTGTTCTTCTTAACCTCTGAGGATAGGACAAGAAGCAATGGGCTTAACTTGCAGCAAGGGGGGTTTAGGTTGTACATTAGGAAAAACGTCCTAACTGTTAGGGTGGTTAAGCACAGGAACAAATTGCCTAGGGAGGTTGTGGAATCTCCATCATTGGAGATTTTTAAGAGCAAGTTAGACAAACACCTGTCAGGTCTGGTGAAGATAATACTTAGTCCTGCCACGAGTGCAGGGGACTGGACTAGATGACTTCTCAAGGTCCCTTCCAGTCCTACAATTGTATGATCCAACGGCACTAAAAGTCCTAGACCCAAACCTATTTAAAAAACCTAGGCCCAAAATGCTCCTGCAAGATGCTGAGCTCCCTGGCTGTGATACAGCAAAGCGCTGAAGCACGAGCTTGACTTTAAGCACATGTGTAGTCGCATTGGCTTCAATGAGGCCATCTACATGCTTAAAGTTACACTTGATAAGTGCTGTGCTGGACTGGACGCAGATTGCTTAACAACTTGCAGGATCAACTGAAGACATTGGCATTTCTAGGCTTGGCTGCTTGGCTGTATGGGGACCTGTGTTTTAAAACAATCAAACATTTTCAAAATGCTATTATTTTCTTTGCTCCACACTGAAATACACAACCACACCAAGACAAATAATAGACACAAGGCCGCTGGGAGTGTGCCTATTTATAAAGTTTTATCACTTATCTAACCCTTATCTTGTTACAGGGATGCCTGAGTTGTGGACTCAGATTCCCTGCCTTGCCACTCAAGCCACGTATTGAATTAAAACTTGGAGTGCACGCACAGACTTGCTGCACCATATGTGGTCTGCAGTGAATGCTTGGTCACTGAAGACTTTATGGACAGTATTTTGTTTTTAGCCAGCTGAATAAGATCAATGGTCTGGTTGAAGAAGCCAACTCTGGGAAAGGTAGGCCTCGCTTTGCACCTCAGTCAATGAGTCTCATTCTTGTGTAGGCGTTCTCTTCCTCTGACATTTGTTCAGAGAAGGTTCAGTGTCTACTTCATCGAATGCAGGACTAGACACCCTCCTACTGGAGGGGGACACAAAGAGATGGACAAGCAGGTGTGAGTGCCATCCTCTGACATCCCAAGGTCTTTCCCCATCAACGATCCAGTAGATTCTCTCTTTACGGTGATGCCAAAAAGAGGACAAGGAAATGCAGTGAATCACATTGCAGTTACTTACAAGTCCTATACAAGTTGTGCATGAGCTGTTACACTGAACAAACTGATAGGACTGGGACTGTGATTTTGTTGTTTGTAGTGCCTAGAAGGTCCACCTGGGAATGGAGCTGAACTGGAGCCTTCATTGTGCCAGACACTGTGCATACAACGAGAGTGTGTGCCTTCCCTTAAGTCCTTACAATCCAAACAGAGCGACAGAGAGATTAGGAGAATGGAAGCATCATCATCTTTGTTTTGCAGATGGTTGACCAGCCACAAAGAGAGATTAAATGACTATCCCAAGGCAGGATAGGAAATCTGTGGCACAGCCAGCAGTTGAACCCAGAACTTCTGAGGCTCAGTCCTGTGCTTTAACCAAAAAAACCATCCTTCCTCAGTCCTAGAAATCTTAGCCAAATTTAGGAATCCAATATCTACATCTTTACACCTCTTAGCATCATACCCATAGCTGTGAACGTCCCCCTTGAAATGAAACCTAGCAGAACTTCCTTGTGGGATCATGTGTAAGGACCTGATGGAGCCATTGAGAGCTCCCCCTTCCCCTGATCAAGTATTGTGGCCACACATAGGGCTTGATCCTGCTCCATTAAAATCTATTTTTCTATTGACTTGAACAGGAGAAAATTCCAGCCTATAATTGGGGATTCAAATGTCATCATAAAGCCAAGTTACCTGGAGGGCGTTGCAGTTGCTAAGGTGAGAGTGAAGACGCAGCTTGGCACTGCTGAGCTCATAGGAGGGGGCCTGGTACGTCCCATGCCTCCCAGACAAAAATGATCTGCATTTGGAGACAGAGGTCCTGAGATAGCAAGGGGCTTAAGCATGTGCCTAACTTTAAATATGTGAGAAGTTCTGCTGAAATTAATCAGGGCCAGAATCAGGAGCTAGACTGTG